GTACTCATAACGGTATTCAAACAAACCAAGCTTGACGCGCGATGCCTTTAACATATAAACACAGAAGGAGCAAACAGCAGACACACGAGTACCCTCATGCTGGTTATCTTGTTGTCAAAGCCGTGATCACCGAAGAAACCACACCGAGTCCTCGGTTTTTCTGGCATTTTCCTGCAAACAACAAACATGGAGTCAGTCACAAACATGCAGGCACTGAGTCATTCTGTCATTTTTGTAGCTCAGTGTGACAAAATTCAAAAATCCTTCCTTCACCTCACTTTCTAAATATCAGTGAACTGGATGACTTAAAGTCTTCAAATTTAAATTTAACATAAATTAAAGATAAAATGGGAGTAGAGGTCACTGACGCTGCCAGTTTCCTTTGTAATCGTCTTATTTTTTTCCTCAGACTTGATAAGATCTCGATTTATTGGTAGTTAAAACGCCGTTTATGACCGATTAGAATCACAGGCTACCTGGCAATGTGCCACTTCCTCTCCATCAGCAGATGGACATCCTCAATCCGTCTGTTGTTGGCGTAGTGAAGCCTCTTGGGTAAATCCCGTTTCAGGTATGGCTTGAAGTGCTGAGCTGGCATTTTGCACTGAAACAGTAAACACAAAGGTGAACGACCCCTGCAAACACAGCGAACCGCTGGGCGTCTCCGTTTGCTTTAGGCTGTACTGTGATCGCATACATTTGTTACTTACAGTGAGGTTTGCAACCACAACTTTTGGGTCATCTGGAAATGGAAATTTGAGAAATATAAAGCAGGTTTTGCATCTAAAAAAAAGCACGTGTCACAGTGCGCTATTTAAACGTGCGGACTTACACATGGTCGATTTTGGCTCACGGGGTCGTATTCTGCCCAGCGAGCCAGGGATCAGCATGATCTCGTCTATGTTGAGTGGGTAGCTGCTGAGAAACTCTGTCCTGTCGCAGTGGGCCTCCTCCATCCCTGAGACATAGCAGTGGCATCTGTAACTTCTCGACACACCTCAGACGTACACAAGTTATGTGACCAAACGTTTCATGCTTGTGGTGCTGACACTGAGAGTAAACGCCAAGTGAAGGAACCTGTGTGTCTTTTAACCCTTTAAGACCTACCATAGAACCAAGTCCGCCAGAGCTTATATTATATTTTTACATGCTGTGGAGCCATTTTTGGG